CGGGGCTGGCCTGACTGGTCTCAGCGCTTCCTTCCCCGCCGGGTGGGCAGGCCCGCTCACCCGGGTGAGGCAGGCGGCGAGGTGCGGGTGAGCGAGAGCCCCGGGGCACCGGCGAGGGCCGGGAAACGCGAGGGAGGGCGTGAAGCCTGACGCTTTCCCCGCGGGGGACGCTACGGTCGGAGAGCGTCGCCTCCGGGCGGTGGCACCGCGTGGGAGGAGTGGAGTGATTTACAGGAGGAATTTTTAAGATAACGTAGCTGCAAGGAGACAGTCGAGGTGAGGGCCAACGAAGCGGGTGCTTCCTTTGTAGCCTTAGGTCTGTACCTCGCAGCCTGTGATCACATCGTATTCGCTTTCAGGAAGCCCCACCTCGCTCACGGCACACACACGTGCGCATGCACAGGCAGATTATATAGTCTCCGAGGGGTTACAGTGGTCCTCCAGTTGTGTTGTAAACTAACTGGGAATATGGGAAGAATCAAGTAACTGCAGAACTGCCTCTGATGAACCTCCAATTTGACTTGATTGCATTAGGATTTTTTGAGGTAATATGTCCTCTAGTAAGACAGACAAGCTGTTTTAAAATTTAGTATTAGATACATTAGATATACCTATATTAGAAAATGGCATATCACCACTGAGGAAGAAGTCTGGGCAGAATGCGTTCAGACCCATGACTGTGGTATAAGTGCAAAATAGTGTAGTGAGAATTTAACTTCACCATTTGTGTCACTTCAGACAAATTTCAGATTCATACTCCTTGTTGTACAGAATCCTGTCACTTGTTTTTGTGTAAATTATCATGTGACAGCTGAGCTTGGAAAACGCCACAGAAATCCAACTCTTCCAATAAGTGGCATGCATAGCAAGAGGCAGTTTGGTTTTGTAGTTTTAGTATGATTTCCTTCTAGGCTGCTGCTCTACTAAGTATACAGGCATTTTGAAATAAAAGGGTGCATGTGTGTGCAGGTCCTCTTGTCACTCGGTGTTTGTATCATTCCTGTGATTGCTGTGATGATAATGTGAAAACCCCACTGCAAATGAGCACATTATTTGCACAATCCTTGTGTTCAAACTTAGGATGAGTGCAGTTTCACTTGCACGTCCACTCAGTGTGCACCTGCTTGTTTTGCAGGACTGTGGAGCAGACTGTGCTAAGTTCCAGAAGAGTGAACTGGAGTACAAATTCAACAAGAAAGCCTTAGAAAGGCCCTATACCTCTAAACACTCCTGGGGAAAGACCTATGGAGAGCACAAGCGCCACTTGGAGTTTAGTCATGACCAATATAGAGAGCTTAAGAAATATGCAGAAGAGATTGGCATTTTCTTCTCAGCTTCTGGCATGGATGAGGTATGTAAGCCATACTGGAATAACGGGCAGAGTCCAGCTGTTGTGTCTATTGGTTATTACTTAGGCGCGATAGTGCTTATATAAAAAGAATACTAAATATGTGTGGACGTTGAATTTCTAAATGAGGAAACTAGAGTAATTGTACTTCTGCCAGTTCACTTGCATCTTTACGACGGTTGAGTAGATGGCTGAACATTTTGGAAGACCTGCCATGTATGCTGAGGTATTTATGCACAATAAATCATATTAGAGACAAGGCCTTGGTTGAACTCCATAAACAATTAAGGCTTTGAGAGTTTAGATCAAGACTGCAATCTGACTGCTATCCGATGTTGTCTGGTATATTGACTCCAAGCATTTCAAACTTCCCTCTGTATTTAAGCCAGATTCCTTTCTCAACTTAATCCCTATTTATTTCCCTCCTTCTTTTCCTTTCTGCTGTTTACTAGATCCCAGTTGGTGTTTCTAAGCAGCAGAAATGCTTATATTCCTTTTTCTTTTAGTAATCTCATGGAAAGGGTCTCCACCTTGCCATGTTACTCTTGGAGCATTTACTGATTTTTGTCAGTGGGCTCTTGAACAGCCAGTCACCAGCTTGTAAACTCCATGAAGCTCATGTGCTGCTGCTCCCCCTAAGAGATGTATACTTTTTTAACTCTTGCATGTTGCCTACCTCAAAATGATGTTAGTTACAGTATTAACAAATGCAATGTACAATTGAAAAGTGTAAACTGGAAACATCAGGTAACAGTTAAACCTCAATATAGATCAGAGATTACAGATTGTTTTACTTTGTGGCCTAGAAAATACAGAGAACCAAACTGAAAGAGACACTCCAGAAGTAAGCTAGCCACTCTTGCATAAGGCAAGCACAGCAATGTCCCTGTCTTTCTGCAAGTAGCCTTACGCAGGATGGGACAAGGATGGGATTTTAATGTTTTAAGGTGATCTGTTCAGTGCCTCACTCTCCTTACCATCAGAGAGAATTCCCGATGTATCAGTTTAATCTCCTTTCTCATAAATTTTGTCCTGCCTCATCTGACATAAAAGTTCATACTTTTCTTGTATCTGCTCTCTGTGTATTTGAACACCATTATCACATCTCTCTTCTGTTTTGTATTCTCTGGACTAAACAATTTCAATTCCTTCAACCTTTTTATGCTGTCTTTTCTAGTCCTCTGGCCATTCTCACTGCTTCTATCAACTTACTGTCCTATTGACGAAAATCCTTGAATTGCTGTGCCCCAGCTGAGATGGTACAAGCACCAAATGCCATAAAAAATTACTTCAGATGTCTGACAGACAAGAAGGTGTTTTGCATGTATTGCAATATCCTGATGCCATGGACTCAGAAATAGATCTGTGAAAAGAGGATGTTGTGATGTTTCTTTTATTGTTGTCTTCATCTCTAGGAGACCTGCTGAACAATACCTACTCCTTTAAGAAAAGAGTAATTAAATCCAGTAGTCTTGGACTTCCATATCTGGGATCTTAAAGACCCATATGCCTTTGGAGGGGAAAAAAAAAAATCACACTTTCTTTGATGTTAAAACCTCTAGCTTCTAAAGGCTATAGTGCAATGCAGAACACCTTTCATATGCAGCAGTTAAGATCACTTTCCACCTCTGCGATCCCTCTGTTTCTCAAGATGCTGTGCTCCTTTGTGTGTGGCCTCATCAGCTAACTAACAGTACCGATACATGTTTGTGCCTTCTTTTTTGAACAGTAATTGCATTACACAGCTCCTAAGATTTCTGGTGGCATTTCTGCAAGACATGGCTTTGGAACTTACGGCAAACACTGCATAAATTGACGTAATAAGTCCTTGAGAATATATTGACTTCTGTAAATTGAACATAATCTCTGGAACTCCAGCTATGTTGAAGATGTTAAATTGTGTGTTTAACTATATGAGGAAATCAATGAAGTGATGTGTGAAGTAAATATAAAGGTTATGAGTAATACCTGTATCTACTCTGTTCCAGTGTGCACTGGAGACAAAACAGGAGACAAAACAGGATCCCATTGAGCCACTCCCTTTAATGTTGTCCCTATTATTTGAGATTACTTCCTGTTCCTTGAATCTCTTACAGAAAAGCTGCCAATTTTCAAGATACTTACCTAATGAAGAGTGGCTTTAGATAATGAGGTCTATCTGTCATACTTCATTTTGTGCAATCTCCTGAGATTAGATCTGTGTATTTTTAATACCGTGTATTCATTGTCTGCATGCACAATGCATCTTAGTGAATAAACTACATTAAAGAGATGTTATGTATCCTAGGTACAAGAAATTGAATCTGCATCATAATTATGATAGAATTAGACTGAAGATGATGTGATTTTCTTTTGGACGTTAGCACTCCTTCTCTGGCACTAAGTAAATTTGACTGCAACAAGGAATGAGCTGAAGAAATTAAGCGTTTGCGGGTTGTTGAAGGGGGACGAAGTCCCCCTTCTATGTCATTTGTTTGAATAACTATTTCATTGTTTCCCCGGATGTAAATGGAGGATTTCAATACCTCTTGCCTGTGATAGGTTTGGGATTTTCTTCCATAAAAGTACTAATTTTTAAAAGGCCACTTACTGATGCAGTACTGATTTTCATGGAGCCTCCAATAATTCCTGAATTGTCTTCAATACAGCACAGACATTTTCAGAAGAAAGCAGAGTATCATTAACATTTGAATAAACTGTTTTGTCTCTTCTTTGGCATGTTTTATATTTATTTTCTAGTTTCTCTCCTAGAAGCAAATCAATTTTGGATTCCTCTTTTTGGGCACTTACTTTTTTTCAGGTGCTTATTCAATATACACATATAGTTTTTCAGAGTGACAGATCTATTCAGGAAAACTACCTGTAGTTTTAAACACACTGTGTGTGGTTTAGTATTTCTGACCTGCAGGAAGTATGTGGCAGGAAGACTGCCTGCGTGCCTGCAGTACATTTCTTCTTCAACAGGCAAGCTCTCATCTGCACGTAGCTGCTGTCTCTGGTAGTGCCCCCAAAAAAAGCAAGAATGCTGTGGCCCACAAGCTCATCTTGAAGTTAGAGGAGCAGTGGAGCTCACCTGTACTAAGCAGCTGTACCTACAGCTGGCTTGACCAGCTATGGCTGGGAGACCAAAGAGACTGCCTTGAGACAGGGCAAAAACCTGTGGAAAATCTGTTTTTGTAATAGAAGTATAAAAGAAGGCACCTCAATAATACTTCACCTGGAGGGAAGTCAGAAACTAGTATCCTTCGAATAGTAAATGTTATTTCAGGAGCAGTGTATTTTGGTGGGATATATATATGACCTATTTAATTAAGCTTTGGCTTTGCTATGTTGAAGCAAATACTCCCAGCATGGTAGTTCTTTATCTTTGATTCAGCTGAAGTGGTGTGTTAAAATGCAGTGATTTCTTTTCCTTGTAGATGGCTGTGGAATTTCTACATGAACTGGACATTCCATTTTTCAAAGTAGGATCAGGAGATACAAACAATTTTCCGTATTTGGAAAAGACTGCAAAGAAAGGTAAGCATTTTCTTTTGAGCTGTCTTGGTAAACATCGCTGTCTCTCAGTAGATCAGTTATTAGATCTTTCTTCCAATTGATTTTGGAAAAAAAATCTAAAGTACCTTTAGAAGAAAATCACCCTTAGACTTGGAGGGAAAAAGGTTCACCCAGCTTCCTTTTCTACTGAATTCATTTACTTCAAGAATTTAATTTAATCTTGTGTAGCTTTCGTACAGACCTAGGACAAAACATGTGCATGTTTTCTAATGGCTAGGTCGCCCAATGGTGATTTCCAGTGGGATGCAGTCGATGAACACAATGCATCAGGTTTATCAGATTGTGAAGCCCATCAATCCAAACTTTTGCTTCCTGCAATGCACCAGTGCATACCCACTTCAGCCAGAGGATGTCAATCTCCGTGTTATATCGGTCAGTGAGTAACCCAGAGTGTGCCATGGGTAGGGTACCAGAGAAGGGCTATATATATATATAGATATATTTCCAGGTCTTAGGCATGCTGGAATTTGCTTGTGAGAAGTTAAAAGATGTATCATGTTCCTCTAATTCATGCAAGTGTTGAAGTAAAAATTCCAGTTGGATCCTCTTTTAGCAGAACTCAGCTTTGAGAAATATGATAAAAGATATTCACAATTAAACAGAGGAAAACATGACATATGGTTAACAGGTTAACCCTGTGCTTTGTAGTGCAAAGAAAAATTATGTAGACCGTTACCATTATGAAGGTGCATGAAATTGAGAACATAATTCTAAATAGGGGGCTAGACCAGAAACTTCTGTTAAAAATGCTTCATGTGAATATCAGAGCAAGGAAGAAAATGGCCCTTGTATGGTCTCCTTTGCTGAAAATATTACTTGGATACGCCTCATAATGATGCAAGAAAAATTTCCCAAATTGGCCAGTGTTTAAGCACTTGCCTAGCTTTATGCACACGTAGTATGTTATTTTTAGTAGAACAGGACAGGGCTGCATTTAATTGCCTTTAGGATTGGGTGACTGTCCCCTATGTATGGTTGAAAGGATTGCTTCAGATTTTAAATATGGGGATGAAGAAATCTGCTTTGGATACAGGTTAAGTTTAACCAGTCTACTGGGTTCTTGGATGAAAATAGAGCACTATTCTATTACTGTAACTTACAGTGATGTAGGCTTTGAAGACCTTGAAGACTACAACTGAATTAAAAGGAAAAGCGTAAGAGAAGTTGTAGAATAGAACATACCTCCTTTTTCCTTGTCAGTATTGATAATCCTAGTGAAATTCTTAGAACATGACAGTCAGTAATGTGGTGTGACTTGTTAAATATAAAAAAAATTCATTCTCAGCATAACCAGCTGCTTGTTTTGTGGCACAGTAATTGTCCATGGTTTTTATTGCAGTTATCACTGTTTAAATTTGCTTTGTCTTTGAAATTGCTACCTTGGTAATTCAGACCAACTCTGGTATGATTCAAGGCGTATCAGTCAGCTTTTCCTGATATCCCCATTGGCTATTCGGGGCATGAAACTGGCATAGCCATTTCAGTGGCAGCTGTTGCTATGGGTGCTAAAGTAGTGGAACGCCATGTGACTCTCGACAAAACATGGAAAGGAAGTGACCACCAAGCATCCCTGGAGCCAAATGAATTGGCAGAGTTAGTGAAAGCCATCCGTACTGTGGAAAAAGCAATGGGTTCTCCAGTCAAACAACTCTTGCCCTGTGAAATGGCTTGCAATGAAAAGGTAACTTTTGCTTGTGATTCATGTATAGCTGAAACTTATTTAGACCTATAGCTAATAACTCTATATTCAGAAAAATAGCTTGCTAATTATTCATTGCACCAGTGTTTCTGCATCTGCACTCAAAAATTTCTGCTACTAAAGCATTTATGCTTAGTGCACAGTAACGTTAGTGTAGACCTGTCATTTTCTATAAACTGCTATTTCTGCCAGTCAGTAACTATTTTTACCGAAGTATAATGTTGGCAATTTTGAGTAAATGGAGTTCTATGTATATCATTCAGTGGTTAACTAAGTTGAGTAGAATCATAGAATCATTTAGGTTGGAAAAGACCCTTAAGATCATCAAGTCCAACCATAAACCTAACACTGTGAAGTCCACCACTAAACCATGTCCCTAAGCACCACATCTGCATGTCTTTTAAATACCTCCAGGGATGGTGACTCAACCACTTCCCTGGGCAGCCTGTTCCAATGCTTGATAACCTCCCCTGGCACAACTTGAGGCTGTTTCCTCTTGTTGTGTCACTTGTTACTTGGGAAAAGAGACCAACACCCACCTTGCTGCACCAGTTCCCTCAGCCACTCCTCACAAGACTTGTGCTCTAGACCATTCACCAGCTTTGTTGCCCTTCTTTGGACACGCTCCAGCACCTCCATGTCTTTCTTGTAGTGAGGGGCCCAAAACTGAACACAGTATTCGAGGTGCGGTCTCACCTGTGCCAAGTACAAACTATTCGGTAATAGTAATAGGAGTAATAGGTCTCTATGACTGTATACGAGCTGCTTTTACACTAAACTAGACTACTAGTCAGTCTAATCAGATTCCCTCCATTGTGATTCTGAAAATTTCCAGTAAGCCGTTACCTGATTTCAGAAAGGGTCTGGATGTTCCCAGCAGCCTAGTTACACTGAAGGTTTCCAGGCTAACTCAACCTTCATTTGGAATAAGAAGTAATGGGGAGGGCAGTTCCACACAACCAGTTCCCAAGTAACTCCAGAATGTTTTTTAGCCTTTTTTGGTATACTAAGCCTAGGAATGTGTTTGACTTAAACTTTTTTTATTTCTCCCCTGTAGCTGGGAAAGTCTGTTGTGGCAAAAGTAACAATTCCTGAAGGTGCAGTACTGACACTTGACATGCTGACAGTGAAGGTGGGAGAGCCTAAGGGATTTCCCCCAGAAGCCATCTTCGATCTGGTGGGCCAGAAGGTTAAAAAACATATCGAAGAAGATGAAACTATCACTGAGCAAGCAGTGGAAAATCATGTCAAGAAAGTGAAGTGCTAAACCAAAGCACTCCATTCCATATTTCATGATGTAGTACTGCACAACATATTTAAGTATAGCGGCATGGTAGAATTAGAAGAAAGGGTTGTAATTATGAGGATCCAAGCAGGTTAGAATTTTCAGGTTCTAATTAGCAGGAAGTTTCTGCAGCAACTGCGTATAAATTATGAAGAACAATTTTATTAGAAACTGTATAGCATTGTGTCTAGAAAATACCATGCTCCTCCTTTCTCCATTCCACTTAACCTAGATGAATTTGGAGTTTTGCCAAATCTAAGATGACAGTCTGCTGCTTTCCAGCTTCCCTTTTCTGGTAATATAGTAAATGACAATAACTTTGTCTACACTCTGAATTGTTCTAACACCGTATCTTTTGATGTTCCTCTTTTTTCTGCTGTTTTCGTCACCCCTGTAATAACAGGATGCTAGTTGGAGTTGAATGCAGATAAGTGAAAGTTTACATACACTGAACAGAAAACTCAAATGCAACCTGATGGATTTTTCTCAAGATGAAAGCCTTGAGATAAAAAGTCTCACGATAAAGCAGTAGGTTGCAGGAATCTGCACTCTGGGGAAAAGGAGCTCCTTGAGAAAGCTGGGTTCTCAAGAGATAGCACCAAGAAAGGAGGCAAACTGGATATGTAAAAAGGTCCCATTTAAGGGGCAAGAGAAAGCCTTTTTCTACTTTTTGTGAATTTGAAAGGCAAAAGGGCAAGCCAGACATATTAAGGGGGGAAAAAACAGACCTGAGCTGGATCAGTGGAAATAAACTTAAACCTATGCTTCAAAAAAATGTCAAAAGCATCTATTGTGAGCTGAGTGAAGCCTGGAATTTTGCAGTGCATTTGGATACCTCTATTTGTACCTGGGGGCAGCTTCTCAGGGAGGAAGCCAAATGCTAGTGAAGATTCAGCAGCCTCCTTCCTGTACTAACAATCAAATACACTGGATTGGGTTTTTTCCCCCAACACTGGTGTTTGAGACAGCTGAGGCTCGCTGCTTGACTAGATCACATCACTATGCTTCAGCATGATGGTCAGTGCACCTGTTGTGTGTTCCACTCTTGCATCACAGCTTCTCACTTTTCAAGTAAGAAATGCAGTCCCACTCCTATCAGCTTGCTGCTCTTCCCGTTTTGTCCAGGAAGGAGCCATGTGGCAGCAGCCGCAAACCAGGCATCCCTCAATTAGCTTGGTGAGCACAGAACTGCTTTGGTATAATTCATCTGCATTTTTCTGTGGTAGAATCATTTACTAGTGATGGTTATTTGGAACTTGCTACCTCTTGGTCATGAGTTGGTGATGTTACCTTGAATTTGGTGGTGGTGTTTCTGTACTTCTGAGCTGTTTGCTTTCGAAATGTTTACCCTTCTGCAATTCTGAGGAAACTCTATTTGTAGCTTTAAACTGGGAAGGAGATATTCTTTGAACCATGTGCTTGACCGTATGTGAACTCTGATTGATGCAATATGCTTGCCTTACATTAAGAAACTACTCAATTGTTAAGAGACTTTTTTAATTTCAATTTTGAAAAATAAATTTGGCTTATAAAACAAGCTGTTGTTTTTGCGTTTCAGCCTATGGTCAGACCTTGTCTTTGCCAGCACTGGTGATGATTCCAGGGCCTTTAGTATCTGAACCCTGTAAGATTACCTGACCTGCTTCAAGTAGCAGTGGCTCTTCGCTGCAGCAGGGCTGGTCCTAGGTGCTGCTGTAAACATAGGCTCCAAAAATTTCCAGGACTTTAATTAATGTATTGGGAAAAAAAAAATTATCCCTATACAGAAACTTGCAAGCTGTCTCTCCTAGTTTTATGTGAGCATACCTTTATCCAGCAGCAGTTAAAAGAGCCTTTGCAAATAGGACACAAAAATAAATTAAGCACAAGTGCCCCACTGATGTAGTGTTTTTATTGCACCTGTGGGTCCTCCATGCATTTCATCTATTGGGGGTGGTACACAAATGTTTCTTGTGCTTCCACTCTTGTGTGGGAATACGGCCACCCAGAAGCTGAGTTTGGAGTCTCTGTTGCAAGTAAAACCAGCTAATGGCTATCAAGTGTGGCTACAGAAGCTCCTACTTCAGCTTTACTTGAAGAGACCTTTCCAACAGTTGGTGTCAGTCTTCGATTTTTCTGAGATGACACTTAAGTATGAACTAAGTCACTTAGTGCATTTATTATATCCAAATCTGACCTTGTCAACTATAACCCTATGCAATATAAGAACTTGAAGCTTGAACCAAACTAAACCTATCACCATGCACAACTGCAGCCTCTCCAGGCAGATGAGGGGAGAGAGTTAATAAAAAAAGATGGCAATATCCAGGTTCAAATCTGAGTTGTAATAGGCTTCTTTCAACCAGACTTCTTTCATTTTGCAAGTTGAAAAAAAGTACAAAAAATACTACATATGGCACTTTAGGTGGTACATCAACATAATTTATAAAAGCCAGATAACCTTCCCCCATTGAAAAATAAATATACATGTATAGTTGATTTTCTTGAACTTAACTGTTACCTTCTCAAAGCATCACAGTTACAACTTTCATATGACAGAGATTAATTCACGTAGATCACTGCTAAAGTGGCTTTCATAGTACAAGCATGAAGTAGTAGGCTTTATTTTGCTTCGTTCCTTATGTTAGTTTGCATATTCCAATGGACCCTTCCCAGAGCCTCAAGGCTGGGTAAACTGGTTCTGTGAACTTGCAGCAGAAGGTGTGCAAATGAGCCATGCCATCAGTAACACTATAGAATGAAAGGATTCCTGCTTCATAATCCAGAAAAATGCCAATGCGATCAGGATCATCTTCTATCAGGATGGGGATTCTCTCGCCCTTGTGAAATGCCCAGTATTCAAAATCAAACTTCTTAAGGCACCAAGATGCTCTATTCCAGCCCAGTCGACAGGTTTCAGAGTCTCCTTTCCTGCCAATGGAAGGGTAGGCTGCGCCAATCCACCATCCTGCTCCGGCATGAAGCAGGTCAACTTCCCAGTAATGGCTCCCAGAGAGGAATGCATCTCTGCTTAGCACTTGCCATAATTTATTGAATCTCTGGGGACCACAAGGGTAAAATATTCTCCTCCAATTACAGCTGACTACAAGACGGTCATCAGACAATTTCAGCCTTGGGTGAAGGCTGTCATAGTCCCAGGTTGGCGATCTTGCATCTGCAGTCAAAACCATAAACATACTTACTACATTTAGCGTGACTCTTGAAAAAAGTCCAAGTTATAAAAAAACCTGCAAAGGAGCCTGCAGCTGGCAGTGTCTCGTAACCTGCCGTTTTGCAAGGAAAAAACCTGACATTTTTTAATAGAAAGCAGTGCGCTATTTATATGCACTGATGCTTTAAAGTTCCATAGGCTTTAAAGCAGGTCAGTATGTAAGTCAGTATATGCATGGTTCACAAATGAGAAGATTAATACAGCTACACTGAGAGTTTCTGCTTTATGCAGAATAGCTGGAGACTTCTCGTGGGATTACAGCCTAAGGGTTTTAGAGAGCACTGGAGCGGACTCTTGGGTTGTGAGATCCCATTCCACTGAAATACCATTTGAAGGTGCACTAGGAGTCTGTTTCTCATAGAGGCACCACAGCTCTGAGCAGCAGCATTGTGTACATTGCAAAGGAACAACTTGCCAGCTCCCAGAGGATTTACAGCAGTTCACCTAACCTGACATTTAAAAAAGAAAAATCACAGTCTGAAACTACACCCTAGAAATCGCTGTCTTATTCAGCAGCAGCTTAGAATATTTTAACCATGAAGCAGCTGTTGCAGGACTGGAAATCACAAAGCCAGGAAAAAAAAATCTATAATCAAATTAAACACGTTTGAAATGACACAGTCACACAGGACAGGTCAAAAAGCTACAGGATTTTTAAGATGAGATTTTTCTCTGAAGATACTGTCCTACAACTTTAATATTGAATTGCTGCATGTCACACAGAAGTTTTCATAATATACTCTCCGTAATTTACTGTGTTAGCATGTGTTTTCTGATTTCATGTTCTAGAAATAACCAAGATACTCCCTTTGAAAACAGGATCTGGCATCCTTAAACAATTTCCTTCACTCTTTCTGTCAAGCCTGATAAAACCAGTGTCAGAGTTGGGTATCTAAAAGAACATACATTGTCATGAATTACAGTACTGTCTACAGTACTGGCGATAAGGTATAAACTTAACTTGTCTCTTAAAACTATTCCAAACAGTGAGGACATCTATTTTTTCTTGTAAGTGAAGAAAACAAAGTATAACAATACATACAGATGAGAACTGAACAGCAGTATACTTCCAATGAAAACCAGCTGCGTCATATTTCACTCAGTTCATAGCTGTTTTTTTTGACTGAATATGATTTTAATCTTAGTCTAGATAAATTTTGCAGCTTAGATGTTTTAAATGCCAGATGACAAATACATTTAATATCCTGAAGCTGCTTTTCAGAGTGAGTAAATTCCTTTTTAAATGAAAGTTAGGGAAACAAGTGTTTGTAATATTTTAAAATCCAGACTGCTTTGATTTCTCTGCAGTGTTGCGTATCATAACTACATGTTTGGACCTGTGATCTCATAGAGTACAGTCTTTCACTGTGCTTTACAGGCAGCATAGTACTAAATGGACACGAAACGGGGCAACAGACCCATTCAAACAAGAACTTCAGTATTTTCCTTGCTCTTCAGTGTTGAGCTTAGAAATGAAAGGTAATTATAGAATAGGTACTGTATGAGACAAATCTGTCTTTGCAACTGAATTAAATTTGTTGCTCACTTGACTTTGTTGCTATCTCCTCTCCTATGATGTTCTCACATAGAACCCTCTCCCATAAATTAAGTATGTCTAGCCTGGGCTAGCTGGCATATTCCATAGTCTAAAGCCCAGAAGCTGTTTACATTCAGGAATCCTCCCCTCTGCCATCAGAGCAATGCATAAACCACTCCACTCCACTCCATTCTCTGTTGGTCCTCTGTTACTCTCCCACAATTTCCTGCCATGAGCAGGGAAGGCTAAGTAAGGTCTCCCACAATTCACTGTGAAAGAGCACAGACATCTTGCATTAAGTCAGGGTCCATTCACCACACAGTTAATTGCAACAGACTTACCCTCTATACTTGTCTGTAATGTTTCAGAAAAGAAAGTAGTAACACCTACGTTATGACTATAAGATACAGCTGGACCCCACATCTCCTCCTTGCCTTGCTGTGGCCCCTAACATCAGCTGTGTTTAAAATGCACCATTATTGGTTTTTTTATACACAGAGCCTTACTAACAGATCATCTTCATCTGGGTAGGATCACTGCACACACCTGGGTACCAGAAATGAAGCAGTTCATTTGAGGCAAAGACATGTGGAAAGAGTTGCTGATGTGTGAAATGCATGTCATGGTGCTAGAGAGCCCACTGCTGATATTCTGTCCCCTACAATCTGCACCTGTATACTGCAAAAAAATGGAGAAGCAAATAGCACTGTACATGCAGTTAGTGTTAACTGAAGCATCTCCATTTTCTAAACAAAAAGAAAGCCTTTATGATTTTAATTTTGGTATTATGTCTGTAAACAGTGTTAAAACTTCCAAAAGCATACCACTATAGGGGTACATCTCACACATGCAACATCTTATTGCTGTGATCTCCAACTAGACTTTAGCCAGAAAACCTAGTATTGGCATTCATAGAATCACAGAATCATTAAGGTTGGAAGAGACCTCTAAGATCATCGAGTCCAACCGTCAACCCAACACCACCATGCCCACTAAACCATGTCCCTAAGCACCTCATCTACGCATCTTTTAAATACTTCCAGGGATGGTGACTCAACCAATGTGGTCTAAGTCATATCTGTGTGCATAGTCAGTGACAAAAGACAGGAAACAGGAATTATTCCTGTAGGCAAAACAGTGCTACAGGATTCTATCTTGTGAATGACTGACTGTTGTGAGTCTTTGTTCCAAGTCACTTCTAGCAGGTAAACAATGGGGATGCTAAGTTTGTACAGAAGACAGGTGGCATCGAGACCAAAAGACACTTGAAGTAGGGAAGGATTTCAAAGGCCTGGCTTCAGTGTCTGCTTTTTCCAGTAAGCACCTGAAAAGCTGTGCAAGTAAGTAGTTATGTCTGTCAGTCAAATTTAACTGAAAATCTAGATTTTTCGTAAAATGCGTCACTACTAAATCTCAAGCAAATGGAAATACCTCCACTGCTTTAAGGAAAGGACAAAAACCCAAGGACCAAACTGCATCCAGGCACTAATGTTTGGAAGCATAAATGTGAATTTGACTAGAAAAATAACGCAAAATAGCTAGAGTTGTTTGGATTATTGGAAGACTGCAGTTCTTCCACTTTTCCTAAGTGATGAAAATCTTAAGTGACTTTAAGTCCAAGTATTTATGACCAAGGTTTGTCAATTTCACTGGCCTACGAGCAGCTACATGTCTTCCTTAATGAGGTGGTTTCTCATATTTAGCTTTAACAGAGTTGAGAAATTGTCTTTTCAGCCCTTAAAGTGACTGCTCACATGTGAACCAAATACAGTGCTTTCTCCATGAATCCACCAAGAGGCAGCCTGAAGCAGATACAGATCAGCATTCCTGAAACAGAGCCTAGTTCACTGCCAGCCAAATGCCGCTGCAGTGCTTTCTTAGTAGCAAGTGCTCAGTGAGGTGGACTGGCAGTCCTAGCACCTTAACAGGTTCCGGTTACAAAGTGACTGACTCAATCTGGATCCTGCAGCACAGAAGTGACCCAAGTGGGAAAGACCCATGATATCACAGCCAAGAAGACAGACTTTGCTCATTGCATTCCTGATTCTTAACAGCTGCTGCATTTATAAGTGAAACACCTGGTTGCTCATCTCCAGTTGAGATCATCTGTTTGGAATGAAAAAGTTGCAGTGTTTGGACTTAGAAGCTCTCTCAGGAGAGCACAGAAACAAGACAAGGTAACAACACTGAAAAATACCCCTCTCAGAACATACCAACCTATAGGTGCCGGGACCACATGTAACCCACTCTACCAGCACAGTAGTGTCCCTTGCCCTCCCTACTGAATAACAGCCAGAAGTCAAGTGTCCACTTGGCCACAGTCATGGCCTCCACTGGGCTGGATCCAGGATGGAAAACAGACCTTCTCTTACAACAGGCCTTTGCCACCAGGTACCAGGGAATGTTACAGCTTTGAGATTAAAAACAGCTACAGCCCTAATCTGCTGCAGGCCACATGAAATGTACATGAGCTTCCCATCAGAGAGATGAAACAATTCACTGTACATCTTTCCTACCAACACAAGAGGAAAGGATCACCTGTAGATTGACCCTTAACACATTACATGATGGACATAAAATTAAAGACAGACCACAATGATCTGGAGAATAGAAAAGTCTTCAAAAACTAAATTAGCCACTAGCTGATTCTCACACTGGCAGTTCTGAATAAAAACAAAGGATCAAGATTTCACAGACAGAAAGTAAAATTTCTTTCCCAACCTGAGGTACAGAAAAGGGTAGTTACTTTCAGGCAGCACTGAGCACTTGTTCCTCGCAAACACTGTAAACATCAGAACCCTTTTAAGATACCTTTTTAAGATAGTGGCAGCACACATTCATTGCCACTTTCTGTGATTGAGCTGTAAGCGTTCGGAGTGCTTCTAACTTTTGTTCAACCATACTTACGTTTTAAGAAAAGCAACCGATCAACAGGAGACATGGTTTTCAACACTGTTCCAGGCTCCTTCTTTGCAGTGGCATTAAGACTACTGAAAACATCTGGGCAGAGATGAAAAGGGACAGTTCAAGGAGTCTGCCAGTGGAAGAACATGGTTGTATTGTCAAGAAGATTTTAAAAACAAAACACCATGAGCAATTTTGCTGGACAGGGTATTTGGGTTTTGCCTCTGGTGTGAATCCCACCCACCTCCTGGGGAAAGTCATACTGTCACACTCCATTTTCCAACTTCATGGGACAAACTGTGTTACTTTTGCTGGGGAAGGGCTACTCACTCCGTATGCTTTCAACTTTATGTTCTTTGTATAGCAGGGAGATGCTGGATCCCAGTGTTGCCAAGGAACTATACAATCAAGCACAACACCAAGTAAGCACCTCCCATTCCTCAAAAAGCACCACTCTATCAGATGAGAACAGAGTCAGGCAGCTGAAGACAACTGCAGATGCTAGCTACAGAGCACCTGCACGGTACTGTCTAGCAATTCTCCACACACCCTGCAGTGCCCTTTCAGATCTGGTCTGACGATTTTCCCCAGCACCCTGCTACACTGTTCTTTGCGGCAACTCTCAGTAAAGGGATTATTAAAATGTAGCTGGGTGAAATGTAATGGCCAGTGTTGCCCTGCTCACCTGTAACTCAACAAGCGGCAGGGTTTCCCCATGGTTATTGTCAGAGAGCAGAACCCATGCCTGAAAAGCTGCTGTTTTCTCCAGCTGATTTGGTAAAAAGTCCTGCTCTTACTTACAGACCACACTTCACTTAAAAGGAGAGCAAGAGAAAGCAAAATTCACAGCGCTCTCCCAGGTACCTTCTTTAAGCCGGGCTTCTAATGGTTTCTGTAGAATGGACTGAAGAACTGTCACGAAGTGCTTATAATGGTTAAGTATGTGCTCAAACGAGAGAGGTATCGGATGCCACTGTTCTAACAGGCGCCTGGGCTCCTGCATTTCCTTCTCGATTTCTGTGTACTTCTGAGGGCAGAAAGCCGAATTCTCCAATTAGTAGAGACAGTGACATGAATGGACTCTTCCCTCCCACACACCAGAGAGCAAGGACAGCTCCATCACCAGGTGAACATATGGGCCATAACAGGCAAGCCTTGCTGTGTTCAGCCTGCCTATTAGCTCATTAGCCTGCCCATTAGCTGCTCCTGCCAGTGGAGCCAGGGGCTACCCCAGAGATGGAGAACCCAGCAGTCCTGGTTAAAACAGGGCCCTCCAGGACACTCCAAGATGGGAATGAGTTTAACCTGGCTACGACCCTTTGCGGGAAATCCCAACAATGGGAAAATTAAACCACTAAGTTTTAAAAGCAATCTAAAGAATAAAATCCAACCTCCCCCCCCAAAAAAAATCTCTCCAAAACCATGAAGAGCAGCTTCCCTTGTATGTTGCTAGCACACACAGCAGAATGCCAGGGCCATATCACTCACAACAATGCAAACTCTGAAGTCTGCTAAGTTGCAAGGATGTAAAAATGCACCACAGGCCTTCCCATGAAGAATAGCATCCTTTGGCTTGTGTCAGGGCATAGACACATGGCAACACACCCTTCCCAAGGAAGGTGAAGAAGGTCATTAGGAAAGAGAGGCTGACATTTATCTGTAGGCAAAGAGAAAAACACCTCTCCCTCCAGTAAAATGATGGCTATTGCTCAGGGTGATTAGGATCTCTTGTGATTAAAGAAATGAGACAATTTAGCCTCCTAAGGTTCCCAAGAGGGCTGCCTTTCCTCAGACCTTCATATTACACAGCACAAGGAAAGACCTGATACAGCAGTTTGTCTTCAAGATGAAGAGACACGTGTAACTCTGTTCCATGTATGCTTAAAGTTAACATGAATTTCATACATACCTGAAATCAATGCCATCGCAGGAACACCTAACAGCTCAAAAATCAGGAACAAAACTGGTTCACCAAAATACCAACAAAAAGAAGATTAAAAAGCAGTGAGAAAGATGCTGCTTACATACAGAAGGATCTACAGAGGAGATCACTAGAGCAGTTTACCAGGGACTATGAGCGTAAGAGGTAGAAAGAGACCATACAATACTACCTCCAGCAACTGAACAGGATCACTTTGCTGTTGTATTTGTCTGATTCGATGTGAGAAGGTCTCCAGGGCTGCAACCTTTTCTCGACAGGACTCCAACTGCTGATCATGTGCTTCCAGGGCTTGCCGAGTCTTTTCATCAATGAAGTTTTTTGCCAGACTCTCCTCTTCCCGAAGTAATAACTGGAGCTCTGTCACTTTGTCTGACAGCTGCCTTTTGCTCATAATGGCATGTGCCTATAGATTAAGCAGAAGAGTGTGTCCCCCATACTCAACAGACCATAATCATTTCAGGCTTTTCTCTCCCAGGCTTTCAATGTTACATTTCGGTTGAATTTTACTGATTTGCTGCATCTCTTGAGAAATGGGTGTTTACCCCTTAAGGGAGGTGCAGCCAGGATTTACCTGCTGATGTACTGGATAGAAAAGCTTGAGGGCAGATTCCAAGACACTTATTTATGCAGAAAACGCTGTTTTCAGCTGGAATGTAACAGGGCTAGGTACTAACTGCTACAAGCAGTAGACCTGGTCCTTCGGTAGCAGGACTTTGCCCCCTTTTAAAGCAAGGTAGGGACAGGGAGCTGCTAGGAAAAGAGAGCCTCCAAAAGGATGTGACATCAAACCGCAATGTCCCAAACCTCTACAGAGCTCCCTCCAGCTCTTGCTGACATTTGTGTAACAGAGTTGCTTAGAGATGCTCCTTAGAGCAAAAACCATTTCATGCTCTATAAATAAGGTGGGGCTTAGCATACATTCCCATTCTTAAGACAGAATCAACAGAGCTGTTTTTGTGTTTACTTAACTCTGAAGTCAGACTATTCAATAATGCAGTTCAGTGCAATGCAACATACATCAGTGAAGCCAGAATAACATATACTGCTGGGGCTATTTACTATTCCTCTGCACAAAAATTTGAACATTATTCTTCCAGAGATGTTTGGCTGATCAGGCAGTGAGGGCCAGGCCTTTGGAGACTCTTTCCCTTTTCTCTCCCTTTGATAGTAGTATGTTGTGATGGATACAGGGCATACACTGTTTTCCTGAGAAGCAGTAGCTGTCTGGGTCTTTGAATAGCTACAGTGAAAGCAAAATGTCTCTCCTTGGAAAATGACCATCCAGTGGAGAAGCAAACCACACTTTACCTTCAGATCATTAGCAGCCTGCTCTACGCTCCTTGTGTTACTGGCTTCTTGCTCTTTTCTCTCTTCTAGATCCTTCAAACACAATGCCATGAGTTCCTATACAGCAACAAAACAAAACAGTTTCATAACAACATCTGTAAAAACTAGAAATCGATATGCAGCTTGCTTTCCATATAGGGGACTATGTTACTGAAACACTCAGTTTATGAGGCTTATTAAGGCCAGTAGTGATGAAACACAAGGATTTCAACATTTCACCTGCTCCTGGTGGTTATACTGGTAAGATTCGGAGAGCTGTACAAATTAGTACCACCTTCATAAGAACAGGGAAACATATGGTGAAAAAAATTTTTTGTCTTTAACTCTATGGTACTGTGCATTTCAAGACTACATGCTCATGCATTTAGAAGCTGAAGGGCAGCTAACCAAGTACTTTTATTCAGAGGATCAGTGAGAGTCAAAATCCAGTGAATGTTCAGGATGCTTCCCAGTGTACAGAAGAGCAATCAGAAATACCCCACTATCACTACAGTGATGCTGTAGTCTGAATGCCTGCAACAACAAATATTATCAGCTTGGCTGATAATCACCATATCTGTGATACTTGTGGTGTGCCCTGAGATGCACTGAACAGCACAGCACAGTTAATGTTCTGCTGCGTCTAGCCCCACAGTTTCTCACCCACAGCCCTCTGAAATCCGGCTGTCCTCTGTCCAGCAGGTTGAACACTCTTGGTGCACTTGGTGATGCATTTTTATCATTAGTACCATGAAAGATCCAGGCAATGCAGGCCCATGCTCTCAGTGCACTAGTGTTATAACAGAGCCTCTCAGTAAATACCAGATAAGCTAGCTCCAGAGGTGTAGCTGTTATGAGTGTCCTGTTCTCCAGCTGGGACCCAGTCAAGAGCATCTGCATGCACATGTACCAGCTCGCTACAACATCCTCAGGTCAGCATGGCATTTAAACTCTGCAAGGTTGACAAAGTGAGCATAAGCATTGCTTCATGGGCAACAGTTTGCATTTCTGACATGTGCCTCCTTTGAAGACACATGCAATTTTAATTTGATTATGACAGAGTCAGAAGAAAATGGGCTCCCAGCAAAAGCCTATTTAGACTTCCCTTCCCTTCCAGACAGCCCATCTGGAAGTCCCTTGGCACAGGCATATCCATGGCAAGCAGATAAATGTTCTTGCATGGAGCAAGACACTCATGTTATGCCATCCATTCCAGCCACAATTTTCCAGCCCTGTCCCTGAAGGTCCAGAAGGGTTCTGCCCCACTTCAAGATTCAGGAGTTCTACTAGGTATCAGCCTTCCTCAATTTATTCTGCAGCCTAGACCTCATTCCTTTCCTCAAAGACTGACAAAGACCACAGAGCAAAACCCAATCTTCCTTCTCTGCTAGTAAAACACATCACCACAGGCACTCACCCCCTCACAACAGTGATCATATGCAAATACTTATGCTAGCCCCAAGCCATTTCTGGTTAAGCATTACTTTCTTTACTGAGGTAAACAAAAGAGCTGCTTCCTAGCAGTGGAGACACTATGTCTGCAACACTGGCAGGCAACCCATGTCATTCACCCTGAGAAACCAACTCCAAAAACATTCCTTTAGGGATTGCCTGGATGCCCCAACTCATTCAAGTGAAAACACTGTAAAAGCAAGGATTTCTGAGAGGTGAGACTCCTAGCTCCAGTCAGGCTCACAGGACACGTATCAAGTGCAAAGCATGCTGATCCTATGTCCAATGTTCAGGAGCACAGGGAGTGTCCTTCCAGATGATTTTATACAACCTTAGATCCAGGGATGAACCAGCTGATGGACCTCGCACAATGGTTCTCATCTCTTCTTAGCATCCACAGATAGGATTTGCTAAAAGCACTGAGGAAGCCTCTCATGTGCTGCCTGGTTGATGTCACATCACAAGGGCTGCACAGAACAACTGCTCCCAGCAAACAAAATCACTAGTCAAAATACCATCTCTTAGGCTACATCTAATTTTGATGTTTGTGCCTGAAATCTCTGCAGCCCTAAGCCAGTAGATGTCAGCAGAGACTTCCTACGGACAGAGTGTCACATGGGGACCAAAGTTTCTACCCTGCTCACTTCCTATTTTGGCACAGAGACAACTAACTAGTTATCAACAGCACCTGCTCCCCTGTGTCCAACAGACCCCCAGGGAACCAGCACAACTTGTCACTTTGTGCACTTTACCTTGGCTCAAATCAGGTTGCCACAGTACAGTACCTGCATCCACACATTGTTCTGGTGTCATGAAGGGAATGCAAACACTGTAGTGAGTTCCCAGCTGCAAGAGGGATACTTTGGATGAAAGCACACCAGCCGGCAGGAACAGTGCTCTGAATTGCTCTAACATCTTCAGTGGTCTTTCCGCTGTGCTGCTGTTTACTTGTGGCCTAGTGTACTGCCCTCTGCCCTTGTACTGCTCTCTAACATGAAGTGCAATCAAATGCCAGAGGAATTTAACAAGACCTGTGCATCTGCTCACAACCTGTGGGAACTATGAAACTTCCTAGTAACACTGCTCCAAAATACCAGAGAAGGAGTGGGAAGGAGGTCTCTGAAATTGTGGAGGGAAAAAAAAAAGCCCCTGAAAATCAAACCTCTGTGTTACTACTTTTTAAGCCTCCCAAGCTTAGCACCACAGCATGCAGGCCTCAGTAGCCCTCCTGGTAGGCTCTCTGGAGTAAAACAAAGCACAAGCAGGAAGTATTGGGCAAGCTTGCAAAGCCTGCTGGGGCTGCTCGATGGACAGCTAAACTGGGATGAGTAAAAAAAACCTCAGGGAAGAACGCCTGTGCTGGCATGTGGCTGGGATTGAGTTAATTTTCCTCATAGCAGCTCATATGGTGCTGTGTTTTAGATGTGACTATACTCTGAGTGTACAAGAGGTTGGGAGGGGACACAAACAGGCAACTGACCTGAACTAACCAAAGAGATATTCCATGCCATGTAACATCATGCTCAGCAATAAGACAGAGAGGAGGGGGTTTAGGTGGGTTAGCCATCTTTTGCTCAGAAACTGGCTGGGCGTTGCCCTACCCGTGGGAGGTGGTGAGTGACTGCCTTTACATCACTTGTTTTGTTTTGTTCTCTTTCTCTCTTCTTCCACTTCTCCTTTGCTTATTAAACTATTTTTATCTCAACCCATGAGTTTTCTTGGTTTTAGTCTTCCTCTTCCCCTGTCCCACTGGGCGAGGGAGGGGGAGTGAGCAGGCAGCTGCGTGGTGCTTAGCTGCTGTGAAAGACTGAAAGAGTTTATGTACGTCTCAAGCATTGTGGCAAAGCAGGTTGCGGTCCGCGTGGCAACGGAGGGCCGCAGGTGAGAGGCACGGGACGCGGAGGGCGTGCCGGAGGGTGCGCAGTTCCGTGTGCTGATAGGCCCGGCAGGACGACGCACCACATATGGCCAGAGGTCATACAGAGTTCATTTGAGGAAGGGGCTCACGACCACCCAAAAGACCCTCTCGCGACCACCCCCACGGTGGCGCCTGCGCAGGAGATCAGGAGTTACGTAACTCCCCGAGGGGCGTGACTGGCGCGGCCGAGAGGCGGGGTGTGAAATCGCCCCCCCCCCCCCCTTTTTTCTTCTTTTCCTCTCTTTCCTTTTCTTCTTATAAATGTCTCAATAGAACCCACGCCACCTGCCATTATTACGCTTTCCAAGTTCAGGTTGCTTCTACCATAAATAAAACGTTTAATCGATCGTCTGGTGTTGTTTCACCTTAATTTAGCCCAAAAACCACTACAACCCCCTGAGGTACCCAGTCTGGGTCGTAACAGCTGCCTACCTGGCTTAACCCACAACCCCTGCTCCACATCCCCAAGGAGTTGTCAGAGAACAGGCTCTCTGCATGGGGCTCATTGTGGTCTAGCAAGCTACAGTGGTGGGGGAAGGGGATAAAGAGAAATTGCTTCTTCCCCTTCCTCTGTGGCATCCATGCCCCAGGTACTTCCATGTCAAAGGTACTTCCAGCCTAGCAATGAAAACAAGTGCCCCCGGGGCAACCAAGCTCCTCTGATTCCCCACACAAGGTCTGAGGAGAAAATGCTGCTGCGTGTGACCTGACAATCGATGCCACTTCCCCACTGTCCCTTGATTTATACTCCTGTTTATGTGTGTGCTTGGGGTGTGACCGGGTAACTCGCGCCCTCTCATGCACAAACCATGTCCCCGTGCAGTGGCAGCATGCTGACCCGTCCATATGGGATTTACAAAGCACTTGTCAAAGTACAGAAACTTTGTTCTGCTTGCCAGTACAGCCTACAAAACTGATGCGACAACAAAACCTGAGCTCCACAAGCCGTTCATTAGGCAAGCAAAGCAAGGTCGAAGGCTGAAGATACTCGGCCTACTGCTCACCACACTAATACAGCTGCCACCATCTCGCCCTGGCAAAAGAAAACCCAGCTGCACAAGTCCCAGAAACGAGGAAAAAACCGGCAAGACACACAACCAGATCAGGAAGATCGTTGCTCTAGCTCCGTGCCCCGCGCGCCATCCCCCGCCAGCTCCTGGTTACACCCCAGTCCCCTCCCCTCTGCCCCGCCGGAGCCGGTCTCACAG